TGTACAATTGAACACATTATCTTTGCTAACTTGAACATGTTTTCAAGTTTACTTTTGTTTGTACGAGCAATGTTTTCCTTCATTTTTTTTTACTTCAAGGATAAGGAACTTATGCTTTCTAATATTTACAGATTTATTATCTACACCCAATGAAATTCAGTACAAATTCTCATAGCTTTGAGTTAGTTGTAAATTTTTCGTAATTCTTTGATTTGACCTTAGAAAACCAAGTTTTGTTAAACTTTGTTTTACATCAGAATGAACCTTTGTGTTATTTTGCTCTAGGTGCTCCAAATTATTCTGTTCTAGTTTTTTTTTTTTGTTAAATAATAAAAATATAGTAAAGAGAAATGCAAAAAATATTCATATTGATTTAATTTGTTATTGTTGTTAATAATATATAAAAATATATATGCAATAGCTATTCTAGGAAAATAGTTTGGGTGTGGTACCCCCTTGAGCCATAACGAAAATTGCGGTACGTGGGCATTTTTTTAATCCTTAATTTCTTAGATGGATATATATATATATATATATATATATATATATATATATATATGTATATATATACATATATATATGTATATATATACATATATATATATATATATATATATATATATATATATATATATATATATATATATATTTACATATATATACATTTATATAAATATATATATATATATTTATATAAATATACATATATATATATATATATATATATATATATATATATATATATATATATATATATATATATATATATATATATGTATATATATATATATATATATATATATATATATATATATATACATGCCATACAACAAACAGCCATCCTTATTGCTAAAGAATTGAAATATTTTGAAGCTTTGAAAAAATATATAATGCCAGACCAAACTGGAAATAAACGATTAATTGAAGCCAAACTTCAAATTGAAAGAAACAAAAACAATGACCTTCCAAATGAAGCAAAAGGATTAAATGGAGAGAAATGGGTAACAATTAATGATATTACTGAGTTCAACAGTACCTCTGAACACAATATAGAAAGTTAAATATCATATTATAATAATAGAAAACTATCGGTGGTGGAGGAGTAGTAATTTAGGTATAGTTATAGAGGCACTAAACCATATCTTTATGGCTGTCCTAATCTTACTTGACTTTTCCAAAACTTTTGACTGAGTATGTCATAAACTACTAAACGTAAATGTAATGGGTATGTGTTTGATTTAAAATTAATCAAAGACTTCTGATTTTTTTAAAAGTAAATGAAAATTAGTAATCTTAGATGGTGTGTATTCTGATTGGGAAAAGGTAATAAGTGGGGTATCACAAGGATCAGTTCTTGATCCACTATTGTTATACAAAAATATTTGATATACAAATATGATATACCAGAAACAGTCAAGAATTTTTGTAAATTTTTTAAAGATGATAGCCAGCTTTTTGCTATAATTAAAAACAATATGGATATCATATCACTTCAAAATGACCTTGATGTCCTCATAGACTGGTCCAAGCTATGGGAGACATCTTTCAATATTGAGAAATGTAAGGGTTTGAAATTTGGTGCAATTTTTAACAAAAAAAAGTGCAATTTTTAACAAAAAATAAAAATGGAATTGTCATAGGCATGCAATAAATAAAGCAAATATAATTTTAGCCATTCTTAAGCAAACATTCAAATCTTGACAAGAACAATTTTTGTTAGATTGGACAAGAACAATTTTTGTTTACTACCTTTGTTTGACTTCATTTGGAATACTGTGCATCTGTTTAGAATCCAGGCTCTAGAAGCTGTCTAAAAGAGAGCAACTAAACTTGTGCCAGCAATAAGAAATTACAAAGCCCGTCAAACTAATCTTAATCTATAAGTTCTATAACAATATAGAAAATTAGGGTATTTGGTTTAATATTTTAAAGTAGTCAAGGGGTTAAATAAAGTTAATTGGTTATATAATATCGTCCTACCACATTCCCTATCAGCACAAGCACCTGCAAGTAATGTTAGAGGCTCTAAATTAGGCTATAAACAGGACTCTTATTGAATAAGAACCCTGCAAGTTATTATAGTTAGAACAGACATATGCTGAAATCGGCTACTTTATGAGAAGTTTAGTTTTTTTCTCATGCAGTGATGAACTACCTCCTTAGTAGTAAATCACCAAAGTTATTAAATCTATACTTTAAGAATAATAGTCACCAGTTTAATTATTGTTTTTTCGAGTTTTTTCTTCATAATTATGAGAATTTTTATTACTAATAACTCAAGTTATATCATATTTTGCTTATAAATATATTATTAATTTGCTTATATTATGCAATACTTTTAAAATTTATTTTTAGAATAAAAAATGAATACAACGAAAAGGAATTATCAAAGGTCATAGTTTAGCGTAGTAATTATCTGTATGCTGATTTTCATTGGTCTGTATCAAATACATATTTATAAAAAAAGAAACATTAAAAATTAAAAATAAAATGTCTCAAGGTATAATTTACCATTTAGTTTTTATTTGTTATTAAATAGGTCATTTTAATTTTTTTTTACTAGTAATCTATGTAATAAAAGTTGAAATATAAGGTGACAAAGTTGTTCTATTTTTACATGATAGAGAATAGTTTTTAAGTTATCTTAATGATAGTATTGTTACATCAAGTAACATTGAGTTATCCGAATTCATAAATTAACCCTTTATTGCATGAATAAGAAAAATGTGAAATTTTTTTTTGCCTGTAATTATACTAATTTACTATGTAACTATAAGAATCAAAAAAAAAAAGAAAAGTTTTTTTTATGTTAAATATGCAATAAAGGAAAAACAAAAAAATTTAATAAATTTTTTTTTTCTTTTCTGATTACTTGTGAAAATCTTTAAAACAATTAGATTTAGTTGTTAAGCACAAATGTATTTTACATTTCTCACAATAAACCTTAGGGATACCATCACACCAATGTTTTTACATCACCATATTTTCACTATAGACAGACCAATGATCAATGCTATCAGTTCTAGTCAAAAATTCAGGAAGTAATGCAATAGGACCTTCTCTTTGCAACAAGAAGATTTTCCACTGATTTTGATAAGCGACCTCTTTTATATTTCACTACTATCATTATTATCTATAAGTTCTGTATTATATTATTCATTAGAGTCTGTAAACAAATCACTATCATCTGAAATATCTAGGTTTTAAGCTGAAAATTTTATAGGAGCATGATTAACTTTTGACTTAAGTAAACCTCCATAAAAGCATTTAACATTAATCTAGAAATAAAATTAAAAAGTCTTGCTAAAACATTTGAAAATTACATAATTTGTAAATAATTTGTAAATAATTTGTTTTTAGGTTTTTTTATATCTAGAATGCATGGTGTTGCTTTAAAGCAACAAACACATTTTTCAAGAGTATACTTTTATAATCGGTGTATATTAAATCTAAATGGTTCTAAAACATAATTTTATTTTTGTTATAAACTTGTAACAAAATATCAAAACAAATTTATTAAGTTTGAAAATATAATGTAAGCCGTTTTCTCAAATATAATAAGTTCAAATGTTTGCAAAAATGTAATGCATATTTTTATTGCAATATTGTCACACTTAAAATACTCTGTATCTTAAGTCTAAATTACTAAAATGATTCTTTGAATTACTACCTAACATTGCATCTGTTGCATTAATTATTTTGAAAATAATGCAATTTGTAACCACTGACTTACTTTTATTTAATTGACATCTATGTATATATTACCTATACAAAGTATGGTAGCTTTTGGTTGCTTCATTATAAAATAAATGAGTTTTTTAATGGAGTCACGCGCGTAACAGAAAAAAGCATAAAATAAAAAATTAATGAATCCTATTTTCTCTGAAAATGTATTAGTGACGAGTGTTTTGTTTTTTTATAGGTAATTATACAAATATTATAAAGATTTTTACAAAGTTACAGCATTCTTTGATGTATCTTTGCTCTGTAATAGTAGTTTAAACTAAAATCATGCATAGACAAAAAAAAAGTAACGAATGGAACATGCAAACATTATTCATCTTTGAATTGTATTTTTGGAAATTAATCGATTGCGATTATAGAGCAAAGATTTTTACTATTATAAATAGCATGTATATCAATACTAATTAATTTAATACACATTAGATTAAAAGAAATAATTAAGTGTATTATATTAAAGATAAATAATGTATTATATAGTTAATAATATATTAAAGATAAGAAAGATACAATATCAAATTTTTAACAATAAGTTTAGTTGTAACACTTCGGCTCGATTATAATATGTCCACGGTTATCAAAGTGTGGTTGTGGTGCTAATGGTTTTAACTCACACAAGTCATGCCAGGAGAGGTCATCTACAGATGGGTATATAAAAATGAGTTCGTTTTGTTCTTTTAGGAATTTAAGATGCCATATTATCTAAAATTTCTAATACTTCGGCAAGTTATGTCTTTGCTCTACCAGCAGAACGCAATTCTACAAAGACAAATATACCTAGAGAAATAGTATCAAATTTGTACCTTTCAATTGAGGATGATACCGCGTTTATCAATAATGAAGATGATGAATTCGTAACAATTTTTACCATTTCTGATTGGTTACAAATTGCCATGCAAGCGCCATCAATATTAAAAAGAAAAGAGTGATGGCGACAAATACCCTTAAGTTTAAACTTATTTTTGAGAAGCGTCATCGATCTCACTTTGGTTTGTGGTAATACACTCATTTGTAATAGAGATGATCTAAAAAAATGAAAATTTATTAACCAAAAGTTTCATATCTTTAACTTTCATTTGAAGGTTTTTTCTATAAATAATGACTTATATTAATTTTATTATTTTTTTCACTTGCAATGCTCACAAAATCTTCTAAACTGCGACAATATCATTTTCCAGATTTTACTGTTGTCCAAACCATTCTTTTTATTTCTCCACCTATCCCATCAACTGCCCTATTTCCGTGTGATGTTGCAAAAAATGACCAACGAATCTCAAAAAGATCAAATAAATAATTTGTACAAATTATTCATGACTGTCATGATATAAGAGTTTTTGAGTTGAGATAAAGGATCATCAGTGAAAAAGTGTAATTTACAAATATTATGATAACGACTCAATTCTTTGATAATGAACAAGACGTCATATTTATCATGAAGTAAACGATCGGATACAATGGCATAGGAATGTCTATTGTTTTTACTCCAAACTGCTGCAGTGAATACTGTTAGTTGCTGATAAACCCAGTAAGCAGATTGAATTTCACTTTGCTTCATTATGGTGTAATTTTCACTAAAATCCATCTAATTTTAGAAGAATTAAAAATATGAATGGATGAATAGTTTATAAATATTAATACAAAATAATTAAGTTTTGTTATCGTACTACAAATAAAGTTACAATTTTACTTACTTGTATAATCAATTCATTTTCGGATACAATTTGGCGACATAAACGAAAATATGCACTTTATTGTCGCTTTATATACACATGACATATATAATCTGGCAGTTGCTGACGCAGTAATATGCATCCCTCTAACAAAGATGTTAGTGGTTGTTCAATTTTCTGCACGTTTTCTGAGGACCATTGGTCAAAAACAAAGAGCGGTTTGTTGGAATCATCACCAAATGATACATTATTCTATTACATTAGAAACATATTCTTCAAATTTTGGCAACCCACAGTTTGCTTTACATTCGATAAAGATTCTAACATATAAACAATCATACCTTCTCTTTTGTTTTCTTTTTAATAGCAAATCTTTACGTCCTGGAGCCATTCTACTAATATCTTCTCACAAATAAAAATCAAGAACTTTGAAATTAACATCGTCTAAACCGGTGTAGTCAGGGTCTGATTCTGTATATTAGAAAATATATTAGAAAGTAGTATGTTTTCACGTTTACAAATTTCTTTTAAAAGGTATTTTCTTTTGTTTGAATCGGCAGGTAATGCTGAATTAATTTTTTTAATTACCTTTCCAAAACTCTGCGGAGATAAAAAGGGTTGTTCAATATCAGATGTAGATTGGTTCACCTCTCGCTTCTTTCTTTCACGATCTTTTTGACGTACTTCCTCCTTTTCTTTTTCACTCATGTTATCTCTTTTATTTTTCATTCAATTAGTTTAGCAATCCGATATTCTGGATGTTTCTTTCTAAGTTTTTTCTGAACTATTGAATGCTTAACTTTATTCATTTTAATTCTAAATTTTTTAAGCAACTGTTTTCTATCTAACTAAGTTTTACTCAAACTAATTAATTAGCAAATATGATATTCAAACGTTATAAAGCTAAAAAAAATAATTATCACCCACGGATGAATATTTGTCCGTGCGTGATATGTCTGTGCGTAATGCAAAAAAACAATGCTAAAATGTTGTAGAAGAAAAAAAATATTTTGCCATTCAATTCAGTAACCTAACAATATGCAAAGTAAAAAAAAATCACTTTAATTGAAACTTTTGAACACTTCTTTTTCTAAATAATTAGATCTTTTAAATCACGCATGGAAATTGAAAACACCATTAACTTTGGCGTAAAATTTTAAATGCCTATAAGATACTTGATTGCAATTTATGATAATGAAATATTAAGACATCATTATCTTTAAGAATCAAAAAAATCTGGGTCATGAAATCAATTTTCAATGTTATAATCACATGTAATAAAAATTTTTGTTTTTTTTCTTAAATAAATAAAATTATTTATTGCGAACTTTGAATAATTAAAAAATGAAGAAACATTTGTCTTCTATCATTTTTTTTTTTGGATAATCAAAATATCACTTATCTTCTTTTAAATTCTATCTTCCGAATTAAAAAAATTTTCGTTTTAAAATTTCATTTTTTTCGACTCACTGGAATGGAAATACCCAAATGGTTTGCAAAAATTTTACTCAAAATTTTTAATATGTTTTTTTAAACCATTTAAAGCAATAAAAGAAAATTTCATGGTTTATGTTTTGTAATGCAATGAAATCATGAATTCATGATGTAATTGCAAATCAAAAAATAAACTTCTATTTAGAACTTAAGAGCGTAAATTAAAAAAAAATGTTATCAAAATACTTCGATAAACATTTTTTTTAAATTTAGGCTCTTAAGAAAAAAAAAAAGTGCTTTGAAGTGTAACATCGCTCTTTCTCTATCAAACTCTTTTATTTAAATACTGTAAAATAAGTCAAAAAAATAAATAAACAAAGAGCAGATAATTTTTTTCTCACATTGCCAGCATTTGATTATACTAAAAAAGTTATGTACAGAGGTAGAGAGGGTGCACAATTTTTTTAGAAAATTTCAATAAACAATTCAGTTTCTGCTTTTTTTTTTTTGTAATTGACTGCCTAATTTAATTTTTAGCATTTTAAAAATATTAAAAAACTTATAAACTTCACTTTAAAATTTACAGGCTGTCAAGTTATCTTTTTTTCCCGGGTCTTTTTTATTAATTTATTTTTTTTCATTTTTTTTTGGGTTT